TTTTAAGAAATGTTCAGAATTTAACAAATTTTATATTTTTTTAATTTTTTCATATAAGGTTCCAGTTTTGAAATTTTGTTCAGAAATTCCGAAATAGTTTAGAATTTCAAGTGTTTGTTCGATTCTTTAATAAAAATATGTTCGAAATTTATAAAAAATAGAAATTACAATTCTAAATTTTTTCGCACTTTCAATTTTCTGTTCACAAATTTTGCAAATGTTTCAGAATTTCAGAAACTGTTTCCACATTCAAAATTTTGTTCAGAAATTTAAAAAACATCCATGTTTATAAAATTTGTTTACACACTCATAAAAAATTGGGATTTTCATCAAATGTTGCCGCATTCAAAATTTGTCCACAAATTTTAAAAATGTTCAGTTTAGAAATTTTGTTTTCAAATTCAGCAAGTGTTCGGGTAAGTTAGAGAAATGTTCACTTTTTCTTTTTTGTACAGAAATTCAAAGAATGTTCTGAAATTTTTTAAAATGTTTCAGCTTTCCAAATTTATTCACAAATTCAGGAAATTTTCATGTTTTCAAATTTTGTTTGAAAATTCAGAAAATGGTTCGGAATTTCAAAATTTGTTCCTATTTTGACAAAAAAAATCGTAACTTCGAAAATGTTCTCATGTTCAATTTTTTTTGCCGTTTTTCAGAAATTGTTTGCATTTTTAAAAACCTTGTTCATAATTTCGGAAAATATTATCATTTGCAGTTTTTTCCCTTTAAAAAAAATGTTCGTGTTTTCACAAAATGTTCATGATTTCAAGAATTTGTCCACAATTTTAAAAATGTTCGTGTTTGGAAAATATTTGCATTTTTCAAAAAGAAAGTTACATCTGAAATTTCAAAAAAGTTTAAATCTGTTGTGGCATATATACACTGGGCTTCTATTTTAGACACAAATTCCGAGGAATTACAGCAAGCATTCGAGTTCACCAGCATTGGTTCGATCACTCACTCGGGCTTGTATTTGGGAATTTTCGCCTAAGTTTTGCTGCGGTTGTTTGTTTCTTAAAGTGTTGTGCTGCAATTCTAGCAAAAGAGTTATTCCATCGAAGTCATGGGTACAAAACCCAGCATGACTGCTCGTCTTTTTTCGTGTTTTTTCACCTGGCGAATGCCAAATGGACCGGCCCAGGTCAGCCGCCCCCTGTGCAAAATGCCAGTTGTTTGACGCAAGGAGCGTCAAGCTCCCCACTTAGCCCACTTTCTTCTTTTCTAGTCTAGGTATAATGGGTCCTTGTCCGAAGAGCGGCGGGGTCGAGGATGAGCCCAACCCGATGTAGCGTCTGCTGCGTGACCCTCAAAAAAATATATGCTACCCAATCCCTACTAGTAATCATGCACGTGCAACGCACGTTTACTCATAGAAAGAAATTTTCCAATTCATCCTAATTAGGAGACAATTATTTCAATAAAATGATCAAGTGCAATAATGTAACTCCAATCTTAATTTGAGCTAAATATAGCTTTGCAGATATTGTTCTTTCCATATGAGCACCATGTCTCCTGCCGAACATGCACACACAATGGACTTCTCAACCATACAGACAGACTTAACAAAAACACATTACATACAATAGTACCTTAGTCAATTTCGTCCCACAGATTGATAGTCAAGTAACACAAACACGGAAACTTGGTCATAGGCTCCGGATCCATATACAACAAAATGTGAAAGTAAGTTAGACATGAAATCTCAAAACTGTACCAAAATTAAGTGCATAGACATGAAAAAGAAATGCTTTGCTCCAAACATGTGTGATTGAGTTACACGTTCAGAGTAGGTTACACATCCCAAGCAATAAAACTCCAGGTCCCTACTTGGTTCCAAGGAAACAAAACTGCATACTGTTCATACTATACTAACTAATATGAAATAACAACAGTGCCGGATTGTAGCACCATTATGCACATTATTATGGTTCAAGCATAATCTATAGTTCCATGTCATTTTTGCAAGGAATACAAACTATAAATCGGGAAGGAAAATAAAACAGTATTGTGTTTGTTGTGTAAAGAACAATTATTATGGACCAGATACATTTTACTGCTGACCTTGGCTCAAAAATTGGAAGAGAATAAACAAGAGTACAAAATGAAACATTGGGGGCTTAGCGACCTAAGTGTCATGTCATAACCTATGTAATGCTTTTGGAAGTATACCAGAGTGTTCCTTTTGTGAGAGCAGGGGAACTTGCAAAGAATGTTTTCATGTAAATGAACCTAATTGATCTTGTTCCTAATTATAAAATATTTTTGAACATTTTGCCCTTTTTTAACATGCTATATACTCAGTACCCAAACAAAATCATGTAGCAACCAAAAAGGTATAGGCAGAACACGTACTCTATTAGAAGTGAACTTTCGTTCGGACAAAATCTAGGTTGAGGCTTTGAGTGCATTTGCAAGAACACACACATATCCAGAATGTTTAGCTGATATATCATTTCAGAGAAAATCTGCACGAAAATCTGCACCACTGGGAAAATAGCAAGCTATCTGATGGATATAATTTTTGCTGAGCCAATTACCAGACAAAATCTGAGGTAAAAACTGAAATTGAGAAGGCTATAAGAAATCACTGTGCAGCTACATCTTCAACTATACACATAACATAGCAATATTGGGCACTACATGCAAAGATATGATAAGATGAACATGCTCCTCTGATCGTCTGAACTGACAAGCTGACATATAACAGTCATTTTTTCTTTGAGAAAATTTAATAGATGAACATCACTGCAAAAAGATTGGGAAATTTCTTTGCTTACCTCATGCCCGCAGAAATCGAAAATACAAGATGATTTATTATCAACAGAAGTTGCAGGTCTGGGAGCTACTTCAGATATGAATAATTTGGACAAGGTGGTCATTGTGCAAATAATCATATCCAAAATTATATATACGATTTATGTTGGAACACAGGTCGACAAAAAATTCTGAAAAAAAACAGTCAATAAAATATGCATATGTCAAGGTTATTTGCATCAACATAACAAATGATATACCATCAAAAACATCATCTCAAATATCAAATATGTAAGCTTCACAAATTGCCTATGCAAGTATACACACCAATAAGTTTGTTCGCATGATCCAGCATCACGTCTTTGTACAATAATGCCATACAACGATGTCATTTAACCAAATACATTAATTTCGAGAGGGTTCTAAAATTCGGTATTTTTGCATTTGTTTTTGGCACAAATCTCTCTCTGACTGAATAAATCACGCAATGATCATGATCAAATAGGCGTTGCAAACTCACTCCAATAGCATTACCAAAATACCAAAAATATTCCTAGCAATCCTTGAAGATAGAGGGGGCATTTCATCAGGTCACAATCTAGTCGTTGGAATCAGTTCTTCAATAAGATAGTAGCGATAATTGTTGTAGATAACGTAGACATTTCTCCAAGGAATTTTCATGTATTTTGAAAATGAGGTGTCAAATGGAATAGTAAAAAACAGGGAAACCACACCTTGACGTTCCAGATCTAGGAAGCATTAGATGTAGTGGTTTGATTGCAAGTAGATAACCATTGCAAAACAGTGTGAAATAAAAAACAGACAGAAAAATCTTATTATTTATGAACCGTGGTTCCACTTCCTTCCCTATAGTAGCAAGCATGATCAAGTACCTTTGACTGGAAAGAAAAGATGTCTTCAGTAAGTTTTGCTGTATTTTCAGTTTATTATTTGCAAATTACACGAAATCCGATAAACCATGCAAGAGACCATTACACAGTTGAAGCTTACCATCAGTAAATCTCGCATTCGATTTCTCACTATCAATTGCACAGGAGAGTATAATCCACAGAAATTTCGGAAGTGAAGGAAATCAGTGAGCGGAGATGGGGGTGGAGAGCAGAGTAGCAGACCGACAGTGGAAGAGGCCTTTGAGATTGGTGTGGCTCACACGGAGGAGCATATCTTCCTGAATGCAAAATTAATAAAAGCCTAGTCAACCCAATTCCACAATAAAAACCAATCTCCTTTTTTTCAGATGGTAGATGTCAATAGCATCTCATTCAACTTGACTGGAAATAGCACTTCTGAAGAATGTCAAACAATACGCATGCCTAGCACTACTTCTGAAGAATGTCAAACAATAGGCATGCCTGTAATTGACAGTTCCCATTTCAGATCCCAGTTCACCATATTCAGTGATAAGAACGTTTGACCTGGACGGATGCTCTAATAAAACCAAAGCCAGCTTCCAATTCCTTCACCAAAGGCATGCCACCTCCAAGATGTTAGCAGAGAAAAGTAACGGTGCGTACCTCCGGAACAATTAGATCAAAATATCACTGCACGATTCAGAGCGGTTTGCCTGACGCATTTGGAGCGGGAGGCACTGCTTGGTGCCGACATCGCCGACGCGGCGGCCCGGTCGGCGCGTGGACGGCGCGACGGTCCGGGCGCCTGGAACGTGGACGGCGCGGTGGTCCGGGCGGCGCGGGCGCTGGACGGCGCGGCGGTCCGGCCGGTGCGTGGACTGCGCGGCTGTCCGGGCGGCGCGGGTGCTGGACGGCGCGGCTGTCCGGCCGGCGCGTGGACTGCGCGGCTGTCCGGGCGGCGCGTGGCGCGTGGACGGCGCGGTGGTCGAGGCGGTGGCTGGCGTGGAGGCTGTAGGGAAGAGGTGGGCGACGTGCGGGGATTTTTTGGTGGGGGGCGAAGCGGTACCGAGCGGATTGATCGTGGGGTTTTTTTTTTGACGGGAGATCGATCGTGGGTGGGATTAGTTGCTCTGTCTGTGTTTGATGTTAAACATTAGGAAGATCTTGATCGTTAGATTTTAGGATTAGACGGATAAGATGGATTGGTTCTCTGTCCTTTCTTTCTTTTATAGGAGTAGTAGATAGTAGATAAAACACAAAACAAAAAAAACTGCCCACGCCGAGGAGAGGCGAGGGAGTCTAGGGTTTCGTCGCGGAAAAAAGAGGGTTACACAAACTATCCAACTCCAAGGTGAGGTGCGCGCCATCGTGAGAATGGGAGAGACTGAGATGGATTCGATGCAGATGGATGCGGGGTCGACAAGCAAGGATAGGGCGGTCGGGAAGAGGAAGAAAAGGGTACCTAGGATTGGAAAGAAGGCAGAGGAACCGAGCGTGAGGAAGACGGTCAAGGAAACGCGTCGCCGGCCGCCGCCAGTATACAAGGTCACATTGCCTGTCTTTGAACAACATCGCTTCGAGTTCAACAAATGGTGGATGCAATTATGGGGCGATCTGATCGGTTCCATGGAGAATAAAAGTAAGTACACCCTTCTTAATTTTCTTCTTCTTTTTATAGATGGACATGTGTCTATCCTCACATGGAGGGAGGAGCTAGCAAGATACTAGTTTGATAGCAATCGAAACCTCATATGCATAACTACATGTGATGCAGCAACTATCCCTAGCGCGCGGTTCACGGATGTTGCTTCCGGCATGTCCTCCGGCTGCCCCGTCACCACTCTGCAGCCCTTTGAAGTCAAAATCTCACCCAAAGAGAACTCAGGTTTAACCTGGCCGCTGCATGTGTATGGTTATGTCGCCGCACGTGATTTGGTGGATTACAAGCGCAATATCATCTTTGAGCGTGGAAGGGATAACTGCCAGATCATCACTGACGGGGTTCGTGCCTTTGGCTTGCTAGCCCCTTGCCTATACTTACATGATTACTCTTTGATCTGTTCTTCAGCTAAGCCTTACATTGTTTTATTATTAGTAGTATGTTGTTGATTAGAGATTTTTAGTACAGTACCTTCGTTACTTAACCCTAGTAGCAAGTAGCAATCCTTGCAAAATAAGAAGTTACACATTGCATATGTATATTTCTTAAGAGCAAAACTGACAAGCCTGATGCCACCTCCCAGTTTGGTTTGGTTCAAAGAACATCTTACCTCTTATAAGGTATGCAAGGAAATTGCACGGTAGGAATAACTCTGGCAAATGGAGACAGGAATGAATAATAACAATAGCTCATAGCTGAGCTATATATGAAGAGCATATGTGCCTGCCATCATCAGCATTTCAAATACCTAAAGCACTTTGAGCTTGCATTTCGAATTTAGGCAAAATACAACTGACAATAAACCTGAATTCTAGCCATTAAGGTATTGGGTTAATTTGCAATTATGCTGATTAACTGTGCAGTTAAAATGAATTTTGGTTGGCTCTAACTGAAATCGTGATCTGTTAGATTGGGAGGGTGTAGAGGTTAAGAGCATAATTGGTTTAGTGCCAAAATTTGGCATGCCAATGTTTGGCATTGTGCCAAATATTGGCTACTAATTTTGTTTATGAACTTGTCTTGCCTATCTCACATAAAGTTGCCAATATTTGGCCAGTCTTGATATTGCCAATATTTGGCAATGCCAACATTTGGCTAGCCAAATATTGGCAACAAACCAAGCATAAGATGAGTCTCCTAACTTGAATTTCATTTTTATGGTTTGTACATGTACACGTGGAATTAAAAATATTGGTAACCAAATATGAATCGAACTCATGTCAATAAGTTGATGATCTCAGTTGGAGAAGTGCATGTAAGACATACTTTTGGTTTGCGGAAATTGTCAAGATCTAAAAGTTTATTGTGTCTGTTCTATCCTAGAATTCTTATCTGGGTATAGTCCCCATTCTTCTTTATGTTAACTTGGTTACCTGATTCTTGACTCCTCTCTTGGTAAGTCACTTTCGAGTCTATTGTATCCCTTGGCCTCTCCGAGACGTGCTCTGATTTTTGTATTTGACAGTTGCTTCTCTTGTGAAATTAAACCTTGTTTGGAAGTAATTTATATCCTCTTGCCGCATTCTGCTAAATCAAAGTTACTTTTTCGTGTTTTCATGGCATTGATGTCAACTTAGGTTACTCTAACTAAATTCCCATTATAAAATGGATCGCATATTTTCTGGACATTTTTTTCCAGAATATAACATTTACATTCCACTTTTACTCCTGTTAAGGTGTATATATATAAGAAACAGTGGTATTTACTTGATTAATTTTCTATGCAGTTTCCATACCTAGCACTGACTGGTCCTGCACGTGCTGTTGTGCTGGATGATCCTGTGTACTTTGAGATTGACCTCAAAGTGAAAGGAATCGGGCAATCTGAGGATCAAGATCTAATCTTTGTTGCTGATTCGTTCAGTAATCCTCAGCCGCTTGAGTCAGCCCTGTTTAACCGTGCCTTCACGGGCAAGATCAGCACGGTTGAGTTGACATTTGGCCAAATTATTAAGTCAGTAGAGGCCGCAGTCAGTATGAAAGTCGTCCATGGGTCATGGCCAGATGGTTTCCGTGGTTGTTTTGCTGCAAAAACTGCCAGTATAAATGACTTCACAATTGGGTTGCTTGTGATCGGTGATAATGGGTTGCCTCGTGCTGACGATGGCACTATTAAGCTACAACGCCATGTTGTTTGTGCTGAAATTGGACAGGGAGACTACCTGGAAGTTTTTGTCCGTGCTTATGGTGTTGGTGGGCAACAATTATATGACACTATATATTTTACACCTCAGGAACGTGGTAGACTCAAAGGTGCACTTAATGTTGATACATGTGAGATTGAGGTCACTATATCCTGGTCCCTTATCATGTCGTTCTAGGAGGAATCTGACTTAACTGTTGTCTGGGCGAGTTGATCCTCCTGTAAATACATATTGGTTGCATGTATGAACAAAGTTCAGTATTTTGTGATAAACCAATTGGTTTTAATGGTTATTGCTACAACCAATTTGCTGGTTCAGCTTCCGCTGCACTACGAGCAGGCGGAGCTGCTGTGCCCTTATGTTGGCCCGTCGTTGATTAGCTTGTACTCTCTGTATAATTCTTTCTATTTTCTTCTTTTTATCTATATATATACTCCTTGTAATTTCTTCTTTTTGGTTTCATATATTAAGGAATTATATACATCTAAAATCCAATATGATTTCGCTCATAAGCAAGTTAACTTTGAAATAAGAATCTGTTTTCGCTCATGCCACTACACTCATTGCTAGATTTTGTTGCATGTGAACTGGAGCATCTAACTTGAGAAGCTTAAGTTGAACATTACAAAACAAAGATTGCGAAATATGTGTAAGAAGCTTTAACTACATTACAAAACAACAGGGTAACATCATGTTTGGTTTCTGCACTATAAACGAAGACACCACACTTATGCTCCCTTGAATTTAGTAGTACTCCCTCCGCCCCAAAATTCTTGTCTTAAATTTGTCTAGATACGGATGTACCTAATACTAAAACATGATTTCATATGTTCGCATTTAGACAAGAATTTCGGGACGGAGGGAGTATAAATCTTTTAAAAATATAACAATAATGGATGGTTCTATAACCAAGGAAACTCTGGATGGTAATCAATTTGGAGAAATTCTCACGGTAGAGGATATGAAAGGGGAGAATTAAACAAAGGAAAACCATTGGATACATTTAACCCGGGAGATCGGGAAATTATAGGTTAAATCTATGTGGAAACAAAGAGGTATGGTGAAAATGTTGAAGAAAAACGTCAAGATGCCCCTACTCTTCAATCAAAGTAACCAATGGAAAGAAGAACTCAAATGATTTATTATAGTTTGGTTGCACATTACTACTTCAACAGATAACCCATGACCCATAACAAGAAAACAATTGTAAAATTATCAATGAGTAATTGCAGGAAGGAGCACACATGAGATGTTTGGTTGGTGCCAATGCTAGCCCTACCAAAACTAGGGCTTGCCAAAATTTTGGCGCAGGCACCACGGACTCGCCCACAGGTTGCTGCAAAATCTTAAGGGGTGATCAAATAATTGGCAGGGGTCTGGAAAATTGGCTGCGATCCAAACATCCACCAACCCATCGGTCAACTACCAAAAAATTGGCAGGGCAGCTCTGGGCTACCATCCAAACAGCCCCCAAAACATGATGCAGAGGATAGCAACCATAAGAGGGTGGATTTTGATCATGATAAGTACCAAATATTTCTGTACTGATCATCAAAGCCAAAAAAACAATCCTGCCAGCTTATCCATATCAGCTGGTTTACCTGATGATACATTGTTAATGGAACATCTATTATTAAGTTGTTATTAAGTCGTCATAATATTGAACAAAATCACACAATCCGGACAAATAATCATGGTCAGGTACCAACATGAGAACAAAAAATAGAGAAGGTCAGATAGAAAAAGGAACAAAACCCAAACTGACCGTTCTTAATACAATAACTTTTATTACATAAAACATATGCAACCATCATTCTATGTGCATGTGCATCTAGTACAAATACCAAGTCCAGTGATACCTATACATGGTCATGCACGTAAGAATTAGCCAAAGTATTTTTTGAGAATCAATTAGCCAAAGTATTGTCATAATGCGGCCATACATACAACAGAATTAATGATTCCACTTCAGTTAAAAAAACAAAGGAACAACACAGAAAACTATGGCAGATTTAACAGAAACATAAGTCAATGTAAACACCAAATTACCATTGATATTTCTTTTGCACTAAGAGCGCCATATTGCAGAGTAACTCTTGCCTAATATAATAAAAATAATGGAGAAAAATGTTGCCTCTATTTCCCATTAAGAAATATATTTCCTTGTTTCCTAGCACATGAGGTTATTCCAAGCAACTATTTCAGTCTAATCTTATAGAGTGAGATAAAAAACTGAACAAAGACTGCTAGTTTTAGCCTAAAAATTGAATCAAATATCAGAGGCTATTGGAACTTACATCTGTATAACAACAATCTCAGACTACAAAGATGCACATTTGCTGAACAACCAATGCACCCTGACCCACTGAAGAATGCCTCAGCCTCCTGATGGTAGCACCGCCATTTTCAGCAGCGGCAGTAGTAGCAGCAGCTCCATGTGGACTGGTGGACACGACAGAGTACTCCCGCTTCAACAACTTGGTTGACTGCCTTATAGCTTCAACCTGCGAATAGAAGAGCAAAGTAGAGCTGAAATTCAAATGCTTATAGCTATGGAAAATGTCAATATTGCAAGCGTCCTGCCTTTCTTTTGGAAAAGAAGTTAAGAGAGAGAGGGGGAGAGAGAGAGAGTATTAAACTAAGTGCTAGAAATGTTAGAACAGTAGAATTGGTGGAAACAAACAGAGCAAAAGCTCTGAAGAATAGGCGATTATATTTATAAGTCGTAGAAGGAAAAGTAGAAATCAGTTCCTTACTTTCACGCACTTTGTCAATCTCTGGATGATGATGGGTTGGAAAAAAAAACATGCCTGTGGTGCAAGGCGTGTCAATAAATCATATACTGGCAATTAATATTGTATACATGCATCCTTCTGTAAGCCGATCTCTGAATTGCCACACCCTTTCTTCTGGCACCAACAATTCCATTGCGCCTCCCGGATGGACGAATGCAATGTGGGTAATGCACGAATATGCAAACAATTGGAGATCATATCCCCTTTTTCTTTTTGGTGAAACATGGTATAGAGTAATAACTTAACTATCCAACATGACAAAGTTGATCTCATAGACAGCTCCTGTGCCGGAGTTCTTCACCTCCCATATCCTAGCAAATGGAACTATGAGCTTCCATCTGTATGATTGCCCACTTATAGGTCCTTTAGAAATGGTCCTTCCATACTTCAAAATTATTCTGGAAGGATCAGAGAGTTGGATATAGTTTGTTTTTTTCAAGATCAATCCTTATATCTGTTATCTAACGATTTTGCTCCCACAAAGTAAAACAAATATATTGTGAAACTATATCCAAGTAACTAAAAGGTTTTCATACGTCTGTACTAACTTTTGGGACCAGTGTATATTTTTGGGTGTTCTGCAAAATTAATCTGCTATACCAGAAGGCAACAATGACTGGATAAAAGCACTACACGCAGTGCAAATTGCTTTAACATGGAAGCATCAATACCTACAGTATAACCAGTTCAGCTTTCGTATGCCTTTGTACCTATCCTTCGAAATGCAAAAGGTAGTAATGACTGAGAAAAATAATACACGTAGTAAAAAAATAGTAACATCAAAACATGACCTCAATAACTAATGTATGACCGCATAATTGTATGATATAACGAATTCTGAATGAACTGCTGATGTAATCTAGGCGTTTGTCTTCAGAGACACATGTGCAATAGGGTCATATAATTTTCTCAGCTTTATATAGAAACCGGGAAAAATGGAGAACAGAGAGTGCATGAAGCTCTTCTCTAAAGATTATTACTACTACTTTTTGGGTAGTCAGCAGAAATAACTACACACAAATAGAAAAGTGGAATAGTGCTTACCTTTGATTATGGTCTCCAGTGGAAGAGCAAGAGATATATCGTACAAGAGGCTACGGCCGGCGACAACCCAGTCATCTGACCGATCGAAAGGACTTTTTTATTACATCTAAAATTCTTTATTGCAAGGTGATCAAAGTAGCATCATTCACAAGAGAAGCAGTAATCTCATTGGGTTGTACATCCATCCACCCAGAACACACCTTACTCCTAGCTAGACTAGCTAGATCATGGGCAACACAGTTTGACTCCCTAGGAATATGCTCAAAATAATATGTGGGAAATCACAAGCAATATGATAGCTATCATCAAAGATTGCTGCCGCAATTCCAAATGATTGTCCACCATTTTTCATCGCCTCAATCACTTCAACGTTATCAGAATTCACTTCTATGCGATTGCATCCGACAGTTGTAGCTAGGTTGAGACCAAACCGCAGAGCCATTGCCTCAGCCATAAGAGCATCACCACACCATTCAATTTTCCCGTTTCCCGCCGCAATAAACTTGCCACTTGAGTCTCTAATAACAACTCCATAAGAACCTTGGAGTAAGTCCGGGTCAAAAGCCCCGTCAACATTCAACTTGACGTAATTTATCCTTGGTTGTATCCAGCCATGTCGTTCGATCTTTGCATTTGCTTCGCTAGCAACTCTGACCGAAAGGACTTGGTGTTGCGTGGGCTCACATCGCTCGCCTGGCTGGTGGACTGTGTGAATATGCCACCACAGTTGCAGTGCTGCGGCGGCTACACCACACATCCACCTCCTGGAGATATGCCCCTCGGCTGCTGGCCACCACACCACCCTGCAGTAGCATCACCTTCCTGGGAGTCCACCATCTCTTTGTCAACTTCCTCACCCAGATCGATCTGGCTTCAAGCACCACCCATATGTATAGCTTCAGGTAGTCACTTCTTTGTTTACTTTTAAGTTATTTGTTGATAAAAAAAGAAAATAGCCACAACTAAATGTCGTTGAAATGAACTGATGGAGTACTATCTGAGAACATCCCCCACCAGAACATTGTGACAAAGGGATGTTCATCTTTCAGATTTTTTTGCAGAGCCCGTGCAAGCTCTAGGTTTTCTTCTAAATGATCATAGAAACCTGGTTCACAAAAAAGAACAATAACATAACATTATAAAATGATGGTTTTCTATGAACTCTCATTTTTTAACATCCTCATCAACCTAGAACTGCTATTCCAAGATAAGAAAAATTAATCATTATCACTAACATTGTTATGACCGGCATATTAGGGGCTTAGCCCAGTGGGTTGTGGCCCAAGTTATCTTATTGTTATTAGGGGCTTAGCCCAATTATCTTATCGTTATTAGGGT